AGTTTAATTTATTCCTACGACATATTGATTCTATTCTTATATTTTAATATAGATAAGAATAAGATTTGTAACTATTCAGATCTGATCTGACCGAGTGGCTAAATCTATTAAATACTGACAGTTGGTCGCGGGTTCGTACCTCATAGGTTCGTACGTGATAGTGGTCAGCTGCCTTATAGAAATTAAAAGTCTTCTTTTATTATTTCATTAACTTTCTATAATAAGTATTTCTATCTAACCGATAAAATTGATTAATTAAAGTAATATTAATTAATCTGTATATTAATTGAAAAAAGCTTCAGGTTGTTCAACTTGAGCTGGGTCTAAAAATATGATTCAGGTATCAAATTAAAGCTCTTATTGTGTAGGCGATGCTGACGAAGAGGAATTTGAGAAAGATGATATGGTTCAGGCATGGCAAAGTGGCAAAAGCACAATGTTAAGTCTATGTAACAAACATGCCCGGAAATTCCTTTTTTAACTTTATCCCGAGCAGTTTTTTCCTGTGTGTTTTTCAGTTTCTTTAATGTAAATACTCATGTCGATAAATGTACATTTTAGTTACTAAGAAAATTGTTTTCATCACTCTCTCACATCTCAACCTCATCAATCCCTCATCTCCGAGCAACGCTGGGCATCATACTTCATTTCAAGTAATACTAGCTGCATATGGCCGCTAATTTAAACTAGTATACCACTAATATAAACTAGTAAACTAAATACTTCTTTGTTCAACTTGATTTTTGCAGCCCAACCTGTAAACAGAGGCCACTGACGAGAACATAAAAATGGCCATTGTGTCGGGGGGTATTTTCTAGAATTTCAAAAAGTCGTGTTCCTGAAAAAATGGCCACCGTTTAGGTCTTGCTGTTGCTGGTATTTAGAGGTTCATTTGAAAGTTCGAGTGTGTCAATTTTATCACGTTTTATTGAGAATTAGATGCCATTTCTATTCATTTCTTTAAATAAAAATACATGTTTTCTTATAGAAAATTCGCGACTACTAATGAAAGATTTAAGAAAGATTTCAAACTTTTTGTATATCAACTTTATTTATTTTTTATTATTTATAGTATTTCCTGTATACACAGATACAACTTCCACATAAACAAGTATTTTATAGAGTAGTAAATCCCTCTGGCAAAAATAAATAATGACATAACAAACGACAGGTTTAAAGAAAATCTGTCGTTACAGAAATAAAGAATATAACTTTTAAAATATTTAAAGCTTTATATTTTATTTTATTTTATTAAGTTATAATTTAATTCTTATTAAATTTTTTTCCAACATATAAAAAATATTAAAAAGTTTATGTTGGAGAAAAAAATTGCAAAAATTTTATACTATAATTTATATCAAAGATGTTAAAAGTTTCACAAAAGTATCGTCAGAACGCTATTACGTCAATATGACGTCATTTTACATTTCCCCATTAGAAAAACTAAAAGTATGACGTTAAAATGACGTAAAATTGCTCAAAATGATTCTACTAGAACCTACGCAGGGGTTGACTTGCGAAGCCATCCCTGTGTAGGACCTTGTACTGTACAATAAGGGGATCACTAAAAAGTCTAATAATTTTCAATTATTCTATTGTGTGAAATTTAAAAGAATAACAAAAGCTTAAAAGGAATAATTTTGTCGAATTAGAATAAAAAACTTCATTTAAAAAGTTATTTTTTAAAAACACTATGACATTAAAATGATTTTTTTCTGTGAAGACATCTATTATGAGATTTTATTATCAATAAAAAATAACTTTTGTGTTAATTATTACAAACAAGGCTTAATTTTGAGGACAGTGATGAATTTTTTAAAATATTCTAAATGCAAATAACCAGTAAAATTTCCATTAATTCTGACCATACCCGAGTTATGACACTTGACCCCCATCTTTCTCCCCATTCCCTGTTTTTCGTACTCCAAAATGAAATAGCAGCAATATATATATATAATGTATTAAAAAAAAAGGAAAAATCCTCATATATATATATATATGTGTGTGTGTGCCTGACTAACGAGCTAGCCACGTGGAGTTTTCCAGGTTTTATTCACGTGCCTGACATATTTAACACTTAATTAGAAGATAGTTTCCTATAGAAATTCCTCTGGGAGATTTCCAAGTGTTGTATTGCCTTTTTCATCAATTCAGTACAATCTAATTGGATGTTTCATGTAAAAACATGATGTGGAAATAATATCAAACGAGATTTTTATTTACAATTTCAGGAACATTAATCTTATGAACCCCCAAAATATAATACGAAAACAATGTAATTTGAAGTTTTTTCTTAAAGAAACGGTAAAAATTTTGTTTCTATTTGATTATTTATACATTTTTTTATAGTTTTCATATACGAGTGTGGCCCCAAATTTGTGTCTGTTCAGGGTCTTATCTTATTTCTTTCAGGTCACAATTGTGTTATTGTAGACAACGTTAAAATTTAATTTTCTTAGAGTAAAGGACAAATCATTTGTTTTCTTTGAATTGCATTGTTTTAAGTATCCAAAACAGATGTTATCTTAAGGAAAAGAGATAGTAAAATCATTGTTCTAACTCACCTAACTTTGAAAATATGAAATAATTTTGACATTGAATGAAAAAGTTTAATTAAATTTGAAATTTATTTTCAAAAATATCGATTTTTTAAATATTTTACAATATTCTTTTAAGCTTAATATACTCTATAATATTATATAAGAATGGTCTAAAGAAAATACTTTTTAATATTTTACAGTGTGCTATATATATACTAAGTTATATCTATGATTATTAGTTTTAATATTACAATCCACATAACATAATAAGTGTGATGCTACAAACATTTAAAACTAGATTTATGTACAGAAAATGAATGTAATTTAAATTTAATTTAACTAATTTTAATAATAAAATAGTAAAATTAATCATTTGTTACCGTTTATCTGATATAATACAACATAACTACACATGATACAGATAGACTATAAATATAGAACATGCCTAAACAAGATAATGTGCAGTGTTATGTACACTTTTTCACTATTTTTTTTTTTTTTTTTTTTTTTAGAAAAAGCAAACTTAAAATATGCATATTAATACATAAGTCGGTCTTCGTGAAATATTTGTTATAGAGTGAAATAAATTTATGATTTTCTAAACGATGATTGGTTAAAGAAATATAAGTAGGCGGAGACACGTGGATATTTCTACCATTAAGCTAATGTTTTTATCATTTTTTTTAAATTCAAAATAATCGTGTGTTAAATATAAATTCTCTAATCAATTTTTCGTTTATAATATTATAGTTTTAATGCTTTAATTATGAAAAAAGTTGTATTTTTAATGACTTAAATTAACTCAGTAATTATCTATACATTAAAATTTTTAATACTAATTCTTATTATATAACATTTTTAAAATGGTCGAATAATCAGAATTAATTATTCGAAATATTAAAGGATAATTGAATATCTACTTTAATGTTTAAATGCCAATTGTACTTGACGTCTTTTCTTTTCTATTATTTTAAATTTCATTTTGTAATCGAGAATAAAACTATTAAAATGTTTCAATGATACTTTACAGAAATTAAATGAAATTTTAATAAAGACAAAGAAACCCTTTGATTTAGTGTAGTGGAATATGGCAACACAACACATGGATGATCTATCAAGAGAAGGAAACTGGCCCCTATTTAAGTGTTAAATCTGCCATTAATTAGCTAACAAGAAATGCGCTAAAGAATATTTGTTAATAAGCCAAAATATTCAGTAATATTTATATAAATTAAAATATTCTTTAATTCTTAAATAACTATTACTAATATTTTCTACTTTTTAAGGAATAATTATAATTACACTAGAATATTTTATAATATTTAATTAATGAATAATTGTTAATAAATTGTAAAAATTTCTAAATTTTTAAAGAATAATCGTTTATATGTACAAATATTTTTTAATATTTAAAGTTAAATAAATTTTATTTTTAAAATATCTGCTAACTGTGATGAAAAGTTTGATAAGGTAGTTTAAAGTGTAACATTGCTAATGTAGTTTGATATATACAATTAAAGTGTCCTAACAATTATAAAGAATATATCTTTACTTGTTTAAACGAGTTAAATCAGAATGCATCAAGCATCTTTACAGAGTAATATAATCTCATTTAGGTGAAGAGTAGAACTAATTAATTAAATAAACATTACCTTTGGGTGAAAATGATACATTCGACTCGTTTCAATGTTTAATGTACATAATATTGACACCACAGTGATTATACTGACATTAAATTTCCTTGGAATTTAACAGAAATATTTTATTTTTCTCCCGTGTTTTGGACACTTTAATATAATATTCTCTTAGGATATACAAAATTAAAGTCTCTTTGAGAATCTCTAGAAGCATATACACTTTTCAAATTATCAAGAAGCAAATAAAAATTCAATGATATACAATAATAATATATATTTTTTAATTAAAAATAAATAATTGGATAGTATATTTTGGACATATGCATGCAATATATAATGTATTCGTATATCCAGCATTTTTGTGTGTGTGTATGTATGTATGTTACATTGATAGTTATGTGTACAGAATTCTTGATGTAGAATAAATATTTTCCATTATATAATATTGAACTTTTCTTCATTAATCAGTGGTAAAATCAGGTGCCTAAAGAATGCTGTTTAAGTTTTTTCCCAATCCTGTTTATCATGGTTTGTAATATCTATAATTAATTTTGCTAGGCCTAAAATAGATACATAATAATTATATTTTTATTGAAGAATTGGGTGAAGTAGAAAGGCCCATTGTCTTTGTATCATTTCTTTTATGAATAATTTAGATCTGTCCAAATCGAACCCAAATTTATCAGAACCAAACTACAGACGAATTTTTCACCATATACAATATCAGCATTACTTTGTTTAAAGATTTTAACAATACACTTACAGATTGAAAAGGAATCTTGATAAAACATTCACATGTCTTGAAAATGTTACATAAGGAGAATTCTTTAAGCATGAGGATATCATTGTAAACTTGTAAGCTTAACGTCAAAGATGTTGCAACACCTTTCCAGAGGTACAGTACACATCGTAAATCTGAATTTACAGCATTACACTGTTCTGAATCGCCTCAGAACCCTGAGTTTTAAATGCTTTACTGCTTAAAATCTCTATATGTGTGTGCATAGGGATGATTTGGAGGAAAGTCTGGATGCATCCTGACTCTAAACTCTTCGGCAACTACATCACAACTGGGAGTCCCCACCATTAAAAAAACAACTTGAATTCGTCCCTCCTTACTCGACTCCGCTTTATCTGCAAGAAAATAACCAAACATTAAACGTTACTGCGATGGTTTCACACGTATGAAATGGGATCAGATTGGATTGAATTGATTTGCATAAATCGATGCAACATATGAGGAATACCCCCGGGATATTTTTAATATTAATAAAAAATAATCAGAAAGTCAGTTAACCCACGAAACAGAAGATTACAAATTAATTTAACTGTTCTTAAAATATATTAAGTTAACTGATTTTCGTACCATCCTATATAAAGTTACCTGTATAACCTATAACGTTTATTTAATTATGTAATTTTTTAATTAAGAAATTTACAGGTTATAAAGTTCCGTCGTAAATTATATTATTCTTAATGTAATTTCACAATTAACATGTTTTCCTATATTCAGAATAAAGAGAGATTTTCTATGGAGCCATTTATAATGTTTACAATTCTCATAGAAGTTTAATGCTATTGACATAATTTCTAACTTATATCTATCGAAATCGCTTACTAAAAGGAAATTTCGAAATGTCTACCCATTTACAAATGCCTTAAATTAATTTCCATTAAGTGTATTATTGGGATTAAATGGAATTTATCTCGTGATTCCGATAAATTTATTTTGTAATGTTGTATGATGCTTCAGTCTATCTTTTATTAAAAATTATATATTATAATATTAATTAAAAGACACTATAAACGGCGATTTTTTATTTAAAAATCTAACGTTTTTATCTTACTAAATAGATTTGATTTAATTTGACATGGCAACGCAACACATGATGCCTCCCTCCTCCATAGAGGGAGGCATCCCCCCTTCAGCAGTTCGCCCAATTATTTATAAATCTTTGTTTTACTTTAAAGACGTAACGTTTTTCATATCCTGTCGATGGTCAATCAAGTAGTGAGCCTACCTATAGCAACATGGATAACACCACTGAACCCTTGTCATGGTTTGCGCCTAGTCAACGGTTTGGTCAGGTGGAGTTTCTTCATGTTTAGTAATACCTTAATAGGGGCCAGTTTCCCTTAGAAAGTCCTTCCGGGAGGCATTCCTCCTTGGAAGATTGTCCATCTGCTGCGTTATCGTATATAAACAACAAACACAATGTTCTTGCTACCGGGCTATCCATGAGGACACCCCGTTTTTGTCTAAATTGGATGTAATAGAATAAAAAGAAGGAACTATTTCAAACTAGGTTAACTTAATGTCCTTATGATACTTTTCGGTCTCCTAGATGTTTAATTTTAGGAATTCCTCTAGCGAGTCACAAGAGTTCCAGTTTTACAGAAAGATGTACAACGAGTCGAGTACAGCAGCTATTTTCTTCCTCATTAAATTAATGTGTGATGTATCATAGTAGATCTCTGGCCCTGTTATTGAGTACATGTATATTTGCATTGATATAAGACTAGAAACCCTTAACGGCATTTCTCTATAACCGGTCTGAATTGTTTGTCTTCTTATACGTCTTTCCGAACGCAAATAACCGTGGGAATGCAGGTGCAGATATATTGATGTTTCTAAGGAGTTTTATTACCTTACACAGAGTGGATTTCGAGAATTAACACATTTAACAGCTTGTCTGCAGTGTATAATCTTGTAAACCATTAACGTAAGATAATTTTTTTAATGTAAGGAGTACTTTACTTTTGTCTTGTTTAGGAAGAATTAGTTGTTCTCTTTTAGCCACTTCTTTGTGAATGAGATACCTCTGTGTAGGTCGTTTCGCTTTCGGTTATATTTGCCATGTTGTTTCATCTAAAATAATCAACCTGATTGGATCGAATCCTCTTAGTGTTTTCTCAAACCCCGGAATAAAGAGGGATATATTAGGAGGTATGTCCAGCTCTTGTCTAACTCTAGATAAAAAAAATCGATGAGTTCAGCATACTGTATGGATTACCGTGAACATTCTGTTCTATGTAGTACAGAATATACTATTGTCAACAGTTGTACAGAATACGGAATAGGACTATTGTCAATGTGCTGTAGCTTCAAAAATTGACAATAGTACATGATTAGGAAGAGAACAAAATGCTTCAGTTCTTTACAAGGTAACTCTACGGAATTTTAAGGAATGATAAAGACAGGATTCTGGAAGCACTAAACTAGGAGTATACGAGATACAGATTAAGATGAACAGCATTAGTATGAACACTGAATACATTACTTACATTAAGAGGAACCTCGTCAAGCGAATATATGAGCACAGATGTGATAAACATAATAGAAAAAAACAGTACAACTGTAGTTAGATTCGTCAGTAATGGATTTCTATCAAATTTTATCGGTAGCCAAACTTTTATTGCGTTTTAAGCGATTTAGCGTTATATCCAGTCTACATGATGACAGCAAAAATATTTAAAAATCAGATCGGAAGTCCGTACACATTTATCCCTAAGCATTTCTTAACTGATCTTAATTTTATAGTGTTTTGCCCCTGTACATCAACATCATACCTCTCCTAATAACAATCCATACCAGTTATCTAACTCCGTTCTCGAAATTAACGAAGGACAGACGTACAGACAGGTAGACGAACGACGATGGGAATGTATATGTCTAAAGATTGAAAATTGCAGCCTAATTAATATCTGATATAAAGGATTTTAGGATTGATGGATAAGGCAAAGCAACACGTGAAAAACTGGCTCATACTTAGGGGTTAAATACGTAATAAAAACCCTGGGAACTCCACGATTGGCGAAGCTCAAACCCGTGACGAACTAATATTTAGTTGTTTTATTCACCGGTCATTAATGGGCTGTATAATGGAAGAAATGCTCGACTACACGTAGAAAACATTGATATTTTTTGACAAAATTTTGTTTTTCGTGAGAAACAATGATGCATGAAACTGAGAAAGGACTTTATACTCTTTCTAATCTTCCATTCTTACAATATAATGTATCTCTTTTAAGTCTTATAAAAGCCAATTAGAAGGAAAAAAAATACACAATTAAACAATATAATAAGATTATAATAGTACAAATGTAGTAAATAAATGTAGCCTATTAAAAAACACTCAAGTTGAGTTATGTAAATTTAATGTCTTTAAATTTATAGTAGCCTTTAAAATTAAAAGTAAATTTTTAAAGTTTGATTAATTAAATGTATTTTACAATAATAAACATTTAATGTAGTTTTAATTTAACAAAATATCGATCGTAAAGCGGCAAATTGTTCTGTGTATTACGAGTGCAGCAGCAACAATTCCTACGCGTTTTCCCACTCAATAAACGATACGTTTTATCTATTTTATATTAAATTCTTCTCAGTAAATGTATTTTTTTTAAAAAAAATAAAAACAATTTTAAGCTAATAAAAATTACAATATTATAAAATTTTGATTAAATTTTATTAAATATTTTTACATAAAACTACATGCAATTACCTATTCCTTAATACTAGGCAATCTAATTACATTCACTAGAGAAAAAAATATAATATATTGTTCTATTTATTATTAATTAATATTATTTGTTATTATATTATTCAATTCGAATTCCTAAATATAGAGTGAGGTGTTATTGAAATACGATAAACCAGCACTGAAAGGGAGAGTATGGCGTCGCGTCGCGTCGCTTTGCGCGACGACATTTTTCCTCCTACATGTGTTCTTCAATGTTGAATACTTTCACAATTATTCTGAAATTAATAATGAAAACAGAACAAAAATTTTTAACGATTCTTGTTTGAATAAAATATCAGAATTTGAATAATTGGTGCGCTTTATCTATGGGCGGATGCGACACTTCCGCATCGCTTTTAAAGTTATTTATTACGCATTATCTGTTTATTTTTATTTAAAAAATGAATATTATATTTAAAATATAATTTAAAAAATTATTTAATTAAAATGAAGAAAAATAAACGCAATAATAATGAGAAATGTTAGCCCCAAGGTGAAACGAAGTTCGATAATGCACCGTCGCGGAAAATTAAATATCACATTAAATCATTAACTCGGATATTCTAAGCGTAATTATTACTTTACATCTTTAAAATTTATATTTGTTAAATGTATTTTAGTTGAAAATTATAATAAAAATATATATAACAGCAATTTAGAAAGTCTTGCGCGCACTTCGATTTGTACCAAGTTATGATTCTAATACTATAAAATATTAAGTTTACTCTTAATTAAATATTCTTATAAATATATTAATAATTCTGTGTTACGTGTGTGTAATATTGCTTAAAAAATAATTATTTTCTTTAGAAAAAGCAAACACACAAAACTTTAAGTTGATTATAAATCAGAAATCGTCAAGCGAAACGTTGCGATTCGATGCGACACGGCGCGACACAATATGATGCTTGCTTGAGAAATAACCATTATTAAATTAATTAAAATGATAAAATTATACAATAATTATTTAAACATTTTTGCAAATAGTAACTTTCTTATAAATATAATTATTTAATTAATTTTTAAATAAAATTAATTTAATTATATCGTAATTTTCTTTGCTGGTATTAGTTTAAATCATAAAAAAAAGTATTTAATTGACTTAAAGAAAGATAAGTAATGCATAATTTAATATTTAATTAATTTTTAAATTAAGATAAGATTTATTTATAAATTCCATAGAGAATATTCCCTCTTTATAATTAATCCATACACGGACTAATACTATTTTTATTCGCAGAGATGCGCTTAATTCGCTTCGCTCGCGTCGCGTTGTCGTGTATAAAAAAATTTATGTCCTACGAGATTTATGAAAATAGATTAACTTTATTTACCGATAATACTGTATATACTTTATATATATATATATATAATTTTTTAATTAATAAAAAATATGAATAGATTATTACGTTTATAAGACACTGCGACATTTGAGACACGAAGCGAATAGAAAATAAAATAGATAGAGAAGATGAATAATGGTGAAGTTCTAGAAGAAGTGAATGAGAATAGGGAATTAGCACAGAATATTAAGAGAAGAGAAGTTATCTGGATTGGTCACGTGAACAGAGAAGAGTGCCCACTCATGAACACTTTAGAGGAAATAGTGGT